AAAAAAAAAAAAAAAAAAAAAGTTGAACCCTGATTCCTTGATTAAGATACTCTGGTTAGGCATGGGGCTTTTCCACAGTGGCTCCAGAGAGCCAAGGCTTCCTGGAGGAAGCAAGGAGGGGAAGGCTGAGCAAATGTGGCAGAAACCAGAGCAACTCTGCTGTTATCTGTGTTAATGTATGTGTTTGCTGAAAATATGGTCCTATTGCTAAAAACAAGCCTGAACCATTCTACTGGCCAATGCTCAAATACTCCTCTGGTGCCTCCCCTCAGTTTTGGGAGACCATCCTCTCTCCCCCGCTGGAGTCTTCCCACACCAGATGGGGGCTGTGTGGTTTCTACCACAGAGACTCTCTTGAAAGACAGAATCTAGGGAACAGCTTTCCTCTGTCTTGGGTAATACTCGGGCCAGGGATCTGAGGAAATGGCCTGGGGCTTCCCCAGTGCTGAGGGGGACCCTGCCAGGCTGGCACGCACCGAGAGCCTGATCTCCTTAGCCCTGTCGGCATACTTCAGGGTGTTGTATGTGTCCTCGTAGGCCAGGCTGGAGGGGCTGACAGCAGCAATCATCACCGTTCTGCAGTTGCCCCCAAGGGAGTCTTTGAGTAGTCGGGTAAGTTTGCTATCCCGGTAGGGCACGTGAGTCTTGCGGCCCTGGGGAGCAGTGAAGGTGTGTGGTGAGGTAGATGCACAAGGCTGACACACAATGGGGCCTGGCAGCCTTTAACCCAAGGCTTGGGAGGTCGGTTGTTATCTTGGGGAGGACGCTGCTCAGGATGCTTTACCTTTGCATCAGCCAGGGCATTAAGGACATTGATGAGTGCCAGCAGAGAGCGGTTGATATTGGCACCTTCTCGCAGCCGCTCTCCCTTTGCATGGGTACTGGATGCCCGCTCCGAGCCAGCCAGGTCAATCAGACTCATCTTGGCCACCTGAACGGTCTGGGTCAGTCCTGGAACACGGTCCTGCTGCTTCACGAAGATCTGAGGTAGGCAGCAGGGGTGAGGTGGAGGCAGGTCTTAGAAGCCCTGGCTTCAGACTTTAACCCATGACCTCTCTCACCTGGAAGATGGCGTGGGAGCGGGAGGAAGTGGCATTGGCATCAGTAGGGTGCTGTGTGCGGTTCCGGTTCCCCCTGGTCAGCATCTCCAGCAACTGTTCAGCTGAAGCTGGCTACAGAGAAAATGCCCAGGAAGGGGGCTTGTGGTCTCCCCACTCAGGGCTTTTCCCTGACAGGAAGGGCCACTCTTCAGAACCAGTGTCACCCCCCTTGCTACCACTGCTGCTGCTGCCACCACCACCACAGGGTCCAGACCATCTTCAAATGGTCTGTAAAGAAACTCTGGAGGGCCAAAAGGCTACTCATCCTGCCCATGGCCAGCAACATACCTGATGGAAGGAAAGCCCTTGTACCACTACTCCCTTCTCAGGGTCCTCACGGATGGCAAGGGGCCCTTTGGGCTGCAAGAGGTCATGGATCTGCTCATTGTACACCTGCAGAGAAAGGAAGCAAGAAGCAGATCTGAGAGAGAACCCAGCAGGAAACTTCCTCCTTAGAGGCTGGCACATGTGGAGATACCAGGCCACCAGCAACACTTTGAGGGATGGTGTTAGTAACAAGAGCAGGGCTGGTGGTTCTGTTCTCAGGCAGTCTCTCACAGGGCTATATCTGGGGCTGTGGGCTCTCATCAGGCCCCAGTTCTCCATTTGCTACCTGCCTCCACTGCTCCCCCTTCCTACCGGCTCACTCTCCCCCTCAGGGTGTGAGGAGGGGTGATGGCACGAGCCCAGGGCAGGGAACAGCCCTACCTCCTGGTAGCTGATGAGCACCTCAAAGTGCTTCTCCTCCTGGCAGGCCTCAAGACGCCTGAACAGCTCCATGGTTGTCAGGTACATGATTCCAGGGTCCCCCTCCCTTCCCAGCATGGTGTGGGTCTTCCCAGCCCCAGTGGCACCATAGGCAAACACTGCAGAGGACAGAGTAGGGAAGAGGATGGCCCCCACCAAATTTCCCCCTCAAGCTCCTTTCCTTTGCTTTCCATGTCCACCCATCTGCTGCTCCTGCCACCTGCACCCCTGCTGCGGAGTCTGCATTCTCCATGTGTTTGTCCTGGCTCCCCAGAGGCCAGTGGGTTCCAGGAAAATGGGATCTCCCTTATGCTAGGGGTAGTAGTCCGTCCTTCTACATTCTGGGCAGCTTCCTCTATGATTCTTTCCCTCACATCACTTTCCTCCTTTCATAAGCACACACTTGAGGGTATGATTTTGTGCTTAGCATCTGCCCCCCACCCTGCCTAGGCTGTAAGCATCCAGAGGAAGGAACCCTATGGGTCTGTTTGATTGTATCCCAGGGCCCAGCAGAGTGCCTTGCACAGATAGTGAATGAATGGGGCCCCACATAGAATGAAAGGGCCAGAACTCTCTTCAAGTCCTGAGCACATGTCAGAAGATACATGAATCCATCCCCTTAGGAGAAGGCAGAAAACAAGGCCACTACCAAGCAGGGCTCAGTTCTCACCTGAGCAGTTGTAGCCCCGGAGGAAGCCATCCAGGAGGCTGTGAGTGGTGTGCTGGAACACATCCTGTTGGGTGGCAGCCTCACCAAAAACCCGGTCAAAGACAAATGTCAGGTCTTTGCCCTTCTTCTTGGACCCATCATGAATGCCACCCCATTTCAGGCCAGGGAACCCTCCATTGGGCTCCTCGGGGTTAAACACCAGCACACGCTCGTCCACCACCTGAACCACAGGCCGACGTTGACTGTCCAACTCCTGAGGGGTGGGGGGCCGTACCCGCACCACCACCCGCACCATACTGTCCTCCTTTGCCATCACCGTGGCAACACCTGGGCAGAGAAATGATGGAGATGAGGACCAATCCCACCCCAGGCCTGACCAAGTGCTCCCTCAGCATTCAAGGGCCCTCTGTACCCCCACCCCAAGGGGTGATCTCCATTTTATACCCCAAGAGAATAAGAATATTGGTGTCAGCACCAGTTATTAATAAATATCTTTTTATCACCTGAAATATCTGTCAAATGACAATATTTTCAGAGGTCTATTACTGTGCTTTCTCTCATGTTCCTCTGATCTACTTGTCTAATTTTTTTTTTTTTTTGCAGTTTTTGGCTGGGACGGGGTTTGAACCCACCATCTACGGCATATGGGGCTGGTACCCTACTCCTTTGAGCCACAAGCGCAGCCCGTTTCTTTTTGAGACAGTCTCACTATGTCACCCTTGATGGAGTACCATGGCATCATAGCTCACAGCAACCTCAAACTCTTGAGCTTAAGTGATTCTCTTGCCTCATCTTCCCAAGTAGCTGGGACTATAGACACCTGCCTCAATGCTCAGCTATTTTTAGAGGCGAGGTCTTGTTCTGGCTCAAGGTGGTCTTGAACCTGTGAGCTCAGGCAATCCACCTGCCTCGACCTCCCAGATTGTGAGGATTACAGGCGTGAGCCACTGCACCAGCCCAAAATTATTCTTTTAATATAATTACCAAGTATTTTATGGACTTAATCTTATAAATGGAACATCTTTCCTCATTTCCATTTCCAGTTGATAATTGCTAGTATGGAGAAACATAATTGATTTTTATATATTTGTCCTATATCTACTACCTTCAAACTCTCTTATTAATTTTAGTTGTTTTTATTAGGGTTTATTAGGTTATCTAAGCATATTATTAGGTATCAGAAGAGACAAAATTTAGTTTTGCTTCTTCACATTTATACCAAATATTTAATTTCTTATCTATTGCAGTCTTGAACTTGTAAAAGAATGTTGAATAATGATGATAATGAACATCTCTGTGTTGTTCCTGATTTTAAAGTAAATATCTTTAGTGCTTCACTATTTAGAAATTAGTTTTGAACAGTCTTTATCATATTAGTAATTTCTATTCTTATTTTATTTACAGTTATTATTAGGAAAATATGGAATTTTACCTAATGTTCCTCCAGTATCTCTTGATATATTTGGAGTTTTCTTCCCTCCCTTATTTTTTTGATGTGATAAGTTACTTGATATGATTTCTGGTATCAAACCAACTATGCATTCCTAAAAAAAAGTCTTATGCTGATCATAATGACATTTTCGACATTTAAATGGTCAAACATGGCCAGGTGTATGGCTCACACCTATAATCCTAGCACCCTAGGACGCCAAGCCAGAAAGATCAATTTAGCTCAGATATGTGAGACCGTCTCTATTAAGAATAGAAAAAATTAGCTGCATGTGGTAGCCTATGGTTGTAGTCCCAGCTGATGCTGAGGGATCATTTCTTGAACCTAGAAGATTGAGGTTACAGTGAGCTATGATGATGTTACAGCACTCTATCTAGCCTGGCAAGAGTGAGACATTGTTTCAAAAAAAAAAAAAATGGCTGGGCACAGTAGCTCATGCCTGTCATCCTGGCACTCTGGGAGGCCAAGGCGGATGGATCACGGTAAGTAAGCTGAGGAGTTCAAGACCAGCCTGAGCAAGAACAAGACCAAGAAAAACTAAGGTAAAAGGATCACTTGAACCCAAGAGTTTGAAGTTGCTGTGAGCTATGATGCCACCATGGCACTCTACTCAGGGTGACTAAGTGAGATTCTTGACTCAAAAAAACAAAAAACAAAACAAAACAAACATGGCTAATTTTTCTATTTTTTGGTAGAGATTGGGTCTTGCTCTTGCTCAGACTATCTCAAACTCCTGACCAAACAATCCTCCTGTCTCAGCCTCTCAGAGTGCTGGGAGTACAAGTAAGCTACTGCACCTGGCCTGAAATGCCAAATTTAACTAAATTCTCACAGAAGCATGGATTTGTTTCTGGACTTCCCATTCTGTTTCATGGATATGTCCATCCCACTTCAGTGCCTCAATGTTGTAAATACCATGATTCTATAACATAACCCCCTTATTGCTTCTTTTCTTGGCTATTCTTTGGCATCATGACTTATATAGGATTTTAGAATCAGCTTATAAAGTTTTTATGAAAAATTCTGTTAAGACTTTAATTTGTATTATTTTGAATTTATACATTAATATGAGGAGAATTAGCATCTTTACAATATCAAATCTTCTCATCACAACTTTAGAATCTTTAGTAAAATTTTATGATTTTCCCCACATGGTTATTCTATATTTCTTAATAGGTTTATTATTAGTTATTACACAGTCTTTGTTATATTATGAATAGGCTCCTTTTAAAATTATATCTTTGGGGGTGGCGCCTGTGGCTCAAAGGAGTAGGGTGCTGGCCCTATATGCCTGAGGTGGCGGGTTCAAACCCAGCCTCTGCCAAAAAAAAAAAAAAAAAATTACATCTTTAGCTGGGCACCTGTAGCACAACGGTTACAGCACCAGCCACATATACCCAGGCTGGTGGGTTTGAACCCAGCCTGGGCCAGTTAAATAACAATGAGAACTACAACAAAAAAATAGCTGGGCGTTGTGGCAGGCACCTGTGGTCCCAGCTACTTGGGAAGCTGAGTCAAGAGAATCGCTTAAGCTCAAGAGTTTGAGGTTGCTGTGAGCTGTGACACCATAGCACTTTACCAGGGGCGACAGCTTGAGGCTCTGTCTCCCCCAAAAAATAAATAAATAAAATTACATCTTCAGGCAGCACCTGTAGCTCAGTAGGTTGGGTGCCAGCCACATACACGGAGGCTGGTGGGTTCAAACCCAGCCAGGGCCAGCTAAATAATGATAACTGCAACAAAAACCATCCAGGTGTGGCAGTGCTTGTGGCTCAAGGAGTAGGGCGCTGGCCCCATATATGGGAGGCAGCAGGTTCAAACCTGGCCCCAGCCAAAAACTGGAAAAAAAAAAAATACTCAGGTATTGTGCAAGGTGCCTATAGTCCCAGCTACTTGGGAGGCTGAGGCAAAAGAATGGCTTAAGTCCAAGAGTTTGAGGTTGCTATGAGCTGTGATGCCATAGCACTCTACCAAGGACATTATGAGACTTTGTCTAAATAAATAAATACATACATAAAATTACATCCTCAAATTCATTTTTGCCACTATATAGGAAAGCTCCTGATTTTCATGGCAAATCTTGTATCTGTCCACACTCCTGAACTCCTTTATTGGCTTTAATAGATTGTCATTGATTCTCTTGAGTCTTTCAATTAAATGATAATATACTTTGCAAATAATGGCAGTTACTTTCTATTTTTAGCTCTTCTTTATTTAGTTCCCCACCTCTGCTGCCCATTGGGAATGTGAGAATGGCTGTTGAATTTTATTAAAAGCTTTTTGGAACTTGCTAAAATGATTACAACAGTATTTCTCCTTTACTCTGTTAATGGAGAGGATGAAACAACAGATTTCCTAATGTTTATTAGGTAATAATTCCAAACTTTTTTTTTATTATTTTGAAGACATGGTCTCATTCTGTTGCCCAGGTTGGCCTCAAACTCCTGGGCTCAAGCAATCCTCTTTCCTCAGCCTCCTGAGTAGCTAAGAGGGAGCCACTGTGTCCAGATCATTTTTCTTGTGTTTTCCCCAGACTTCTCTCCCTGGTTTTTCATTTCCCTTTTGAGCCAGCTTACCAAGAATAGGGATAGAATTTTTGGAATGCAGGAGTCACAGATATTCTAGAAAAGTTCAGCCCAACTCTAGAGATATATTAACATGGAGAAGGACAGGCGCTTTTTCTGGAGGCTATAAATAGATGAATGTTTTCCCGGTAAAGATTAGGCCCCACTGATGGGTCATAATTACCAATGTCATTCAGCAAAGTGGGGTTTCTGCCTAATACTCCAACAAGCAGCTCAGGTTTTCACTGGGGAATGAGAAGGAATAGAGTTGATCTGGAACTCCTATCCCTTCACCCCTCAACTTCTTACCTTCTTCCCCATGCAAAACAAGAATACGATATCAACCAATGGCTCGGCGCCTATAGCTCAACCGGCTAAGGCGCCAGCCACGTACACCTGGGGTGGCGGGTTCGAATCCCCAGCCCGGACCCGCCAAACAACAATGACGGCTGCAACCAAAAAATGGCCGGGCGTTGTGGCGGGCGCTTGTGGTCCCAGCTACTTGGGATGCTGAGCTCGCTTGAGCCCAGGAGTTGGAGGTTGCTGTGAGCTGTGATGCCACGGCACTCTGCCCAGGGGGACAGCTTGAGGCTCTGTCTCAAAAAAAAAAAAAAAAAAAAAAGATATCAACCAATGATAATCCTCTTACATGTGTATAATTTTATTCCTGTCCCAGCAATCAGATTGCCATAATAAACATATTAGCTACATGCTTACTATGTCAGTGACCATTCAAGATATATCATCTCCTTTTATCCCCATTGCAATCCCACAAGATAGATACTACTATTATACTCATTTTTCAGTGAGGAAATTGAAACTGAGAGGGTTAAGCAATTTGCCCAAGGTCCCAAAGCTGGTGAGTGATGGAGCTCCATTCCAGTCAAGGCAGTTTAACTACAGAGCCAGTTATACTGCTTTATAATGATATTATATATTATGCTATGATGATCACATTGTTGAAATAGTCCCTTATGTTTGTATAATAATTATAATCACTTTTATGGAATTAGCACTACATATTCAGCAAACACTTTCAGATATATGGACTGTACCTAATTTTCTGTCTTTTGTCTCCCACCCTTGGATTCCCACCCGCAGGAAACTCCCTTTTTGTACCTGGGGAAGTGTAGGCAGAGGGTACTCGGGTCCACATGGGCTGCCTTCCTGACAGTCCCAGTTTCCCAGGGGAGGGTGTCAGCTGAGGAGCCACAGAACAGGCTAACAATCTAAGCAGGAAATTAAAAAGGGCGCTGGCAAAGGAGTGCATGTAACCTTTACAGTTCTCTCCTCCCCGCCTCCTGAGGGCCA